ATGATTTGTATCATAACATACGAGCTTCTACGGGTCTTAGTTGTACAAAGTAGTTCTTCAAAAATCCCAATTCCCCCTCCCCCTGTGAATGACCCTGAACAAATTTTTGTATGTCGCGAACAAGGACCGTTTTTTATGTGAGAAGATTACCGTGGTACGCTAACCCAAATGAACTGGAAAACCATTGAGAAGGCAGACTCAAGTAGCCCCAGAAAAAAAAATAAAAGTCAAAAAAGCTGCATTCTCGAACCTTCTACGGAATTATTCGATTGAACTGATGCAGTATTCGCAATTGCATGAAATTATACAGATACTCACCTGGATATGGTACCTGTCCCTTTGTCATTATTTCGTACAACAATATGCCGTATGACCAGACATCACTTTTCACTGTGAAGTTACCACAGGTAGCCGCTTCAGGTGCCGTCCATTTAATCGGGAATTTCGCTCCAGTCCGAGCTTCGTAGATGTCTTCTTCCATCAATTTACGCGCTAGACCAAAATCGGCTACCTATAATATAGCAAAGATAATCTCGACCACGAAATGAACAAATGATTAATATCACTTGATTGACTGTTATCAGAATCTCAAGCGCAGTGAGGAGGGATAACCTCCAAGCGTGGAAAACTAAAAACTGCGCCAATTGCGTCAATATCTGGTACTAAAGTTCAGGGTAACTGCGTTGTGAAAATAAAAGAAACACTTTGAAGGTGAAGAAAAATAAAAAGAGGTATTTAGTGAAAAAAGTAGCATTATGAAGATCCATTTCTTCCGATGAAATGAGGAAGATTTTGTTAATTACGAGGAAAAGGAAATCGAATTCACTTTATGATACAACTTCGCTGAATTATTTCCACTGCTATGCTCGGCACGTCGGCACCAAATCCTCTATGCTTTCATCCCCATTCTCTCTATCTTCTGATATTCGATTCTGTTTCATTGCATTGCCATTTCCTTTGCAGTTTCTATATCAAGTTTGATATAAAATAAGGCGACAGACTAGAATCCGTTTGCTCTGCTGCACGCAATGTTATGCATCGCACTTTTCATTCTTACAATTCCATTCGAATGTCGACGGAGCTGTGCGACAGATACACATGAATCACTATCCAGCAATGAACAATCAGAAAAAATGCAACATTCAGCAACATACAAAAAGGAAACAACACGGTGATCACAATTATGGTAATAAGGGCACGCCGTATGCAATTCAAAATGTTAACATAAGATTTGGACTGCAAATTTGTAGTTTTTTTTTCATTAGATCGACGCTTATTCCATAATTTAGCATGTAAAGGCGATGAGAAACAGCCACTCCTTTACCTCATCACCGAATGAACACTCGTGTGCAGCGTCAACCCTTGCGATGGAGTTATATGGCATGATATTATATGACTCGAAGTATCCAGGTATGTTTTTCTACCACCACTACAATTCTTATCAAGCTATAACTAGGACGATCGGTCTGTGTGAAAGGGATGCCTTTTGTTTATCAGGAGCAATGCTGGCAAGTTACACGCGAAAGTTCGCTGGAGCCCAATTTGTTGAGTTCATCGTTTGGCGAGTAAAATGGGAAAAAATGCGGCCAACTGAGAAGATCTTTGAGTTCAATTCTAAGGCGTATAAGCATGGAAATAAAAAAGAGCGGTGCAAGTACCCTCGCCTTCAAATGACCAGAAATTGTGCAATTGCAGAAATTGACGTGGCATTAACGTGGCATCGATTCAAGAACATCTTTGAGCACACGTGATGTCACCTTTTCATCGAGAATTTAGCCACGTGTGCCAATGCCACGTCAATTTCTGCAATTGCACAATTTCTGGTCATTTGAAGGCGAGGGTAGATGCTGTATTGATTTCGAAACAGGCGCTATTTCTCGATCGGTTTTACAACTGAGAAAATTTAGGCTGGTGTCAGAGTCCGCGATCCGTCGCAGGTTTCGCTGATTTTCGCGATTTGCGCGATTCACGCGACGGGTCACGGAAATCACAAGTGCCCGATCAATACTGCAAGGTGTTCTCCAATCCCGCCGCCACTTCTGCTTGATAGTGATGGCTGAATGACGACTGCTCATGATTCCACTTGTTTCATATTCAGTGTTTCAAATGTTCAGACGGGTCAACCTCTTACTTTTTTCACGTTATAGGGTGCCGCCGCGGCGAGCACGGCCGAGCCGGTAGTGCCCGCGAACTGTGCGGGAAATTTGAAAACGCTCCAGCACAGTTCAACAGGAACGAATCATGAGCATTTCAATGAACTAATAGACATTGAACATGAAACAAGTAGAATCACAAACATTCGTCTTTCAATCTTTACTGCCAAGCAGAATTCGCAGCAGGATTAAACAACACCTCGCAGTATTCATCGGGCACTTCCAACTCCTGTGATCCATCGCAGGTTTCGCGAAAATCGCGCAAATCGCGCAAATCGCGAAAATCGCGCAAATCGCGAAAATCAGCGAAAGCGGCGACGAATCGCGGACTCTAACATCAACCTTATGCAACTGAGCCACCCTCTATTAGGCACACCTCAAGGTTTGGTGATTACAAACGGACTTTAGCCCTCCGAACAATTTTGAATCCAGATTGAGTGGCAGACTCTATGGGTTTCATATCGAAGACATCGTTGGTATACATGAAAAATAACATGATGAATCGATCTCGAAGTTTAAATGATGTGATCAACGCAGGGAACTTCGCAGGAAATCGCTGGCTCTTTTAGCAAGACATAGTGCTCGCACACAAAGGGAATGATAGGCAAAGTTGGTGTTGGCACAATGCTTGGCAATCTTACGAGGGGTCATGTTCTCCACTTAAAATCAACGGATTACTGTGTATGGCGTATGCTGAACACGAGAGCCTGCACCAACTGCATCGTAATTGAAAAATCGCTCAAGATAGCTTCGGATGAACGCCACCCATGTGCAAGTCATGGTGAGTGGGTTTCCTTGAAGGCTTCCTGTGTCAGTGCAGACTGCAGAAAATTGTGATCTATTTGACCGGTCTTATCTGCGTGCACCTGTTCCTTATGTCTGAAAAAGACCTGTATGAGGGCAACAGGCAAGGGTTTTCAACCTCGACCTTTTTTGGCTTGTGGTATGAAATTAGGCTAGCATTCATTTTTAACGATACAATTTCTTAACACGTTGACGACAACGCGTGTTTTGGGCTTTTGCACCGCGTGGGACCAGAGCGATTTTGCAGGCGCCGCCGCTTCACATAAAATCCGTGAATTCTGAGCTTTAACTATGCAAAACCCGGATGCAACAAAATGTTTCGAATGATATTTGATGTATCAAACTTCTCAGAAGGAACAACTGTAAAAGTTCAATCGAATGGACGTTTTCTGGCAATGAAAAGGCAATTTTCAGTAGCTCTTGCTGTAGTGGACCTCAAAATTATTTTTGACTCGGTTGCTCCACTAAAAACATATATCTTGCTATATGTGTAGGTCTGTACTTACTTCTACTACTCTTTTTTATGACCAAGGTTGTCAGAATATAAAGGAAACTAGGAATGAACACAATTGGGAAATTCGTAGGGCTTAGAAAACCTTCGCTAAAAAGGAGCATATTCAACCATTCGATGAACCTCGCCGTGTCTAGTCATATTATGGTGTGGTCTATAGAATAGATGCAAAAAATTAGAAAAGAAGTAGCGCATGCGCGAAAAAAATAATAATTGTGTGTGCAGCGCATGCGCTGCACACGGTCCCACACGGTGCTCAAGGTGTGATGCGCATGCGCTGCACAATGTCGTCAACGTGTTAATTGCCCCAATTTTGTCCTCCTCTCCCCTTCTCTCTCTACCCATCTTCCCCATGTACGTGACTCTCGGAGGGCGGCCGATTGATCAGACTTTTCCTCCCAAAAAATCCTGATATAAATTAAGCGGCCTCATAGAGATGGAAAACTGATTGGTCCAAGCGAGATCAAATCCAAGATTTAACCCACTGGTCGTACGCAGAGTCACTCACGTCGCTTACCAGTGAACCCATTGTATAAAGAAGAAGAGTGCCGTAATGTTGTTCATATGTCACACTTCGCAGCTGGCACAAATGGAGGCTGTCTTGTAATATTTGAAATTTGCAAACTAACATGAACACCCTTCTAAAGTTCAGCAACGTAGGTAAATGCGCTACCGATCCTTTGCTATCGTAGGTTGCGCAGAATTGCAATGTCACTTTCAAATTTGCCCTTTATCTTCAAATCTTTTTTCTGCATGCGCCCACTGGGACGGTACGCGACAACCGCGATAAGAACTATTACTCCTCCACGAATTCGCGCTCAATATTTGGGCCTTGAAGGAATAGATCACAATAATGATTGCAGTCAGCAGTCAACCCGAGTTTCACCGCTATTTCATGTTTTCTTTATAGTACAGTATGTACTCGTACTGTGCAGAAGAAACATCCATATGCGAAGATAGAGCTGCAACTAATAAGATTTCAAGGTGAGGTGGCCTGATATGAAAGGCACTTCTGAGAAGAAAACCACGCAATGCGTCATGTTCAGTCGGCATGTCTGGATCTTGTTGGGTCGTTTTTTGCACCTTGTACCTTTGTTGGTAGAGCGCTTACTGTCGCCAAAGTGCCGGACATTTTCTAATTGGATCCCCCTAAGCACTCCGCATTACCCTTTTCTTTCTTCCACGAACAACCTCATGGCGAGCTTTGTTTTTAAACGTTCTCGCCCATATGAATAGATAGGCGTATCTGTAGAGGTGCAACTACAATCACATTAGATCATTCTCTACGCTTGAACGATTGCAAGCGTTGAATGCGAGAGACTGACCAGTGATTTGGTTGAATCGTGGGAGTACTGGTCCATGAAATGACAGCTATTTCGAAAGGTAAGTGATAAAGAGCATTGGTGTTCAACAAGAGAAAAAAAAACAACCAAGAACATGATAAGAAAGCAAAATCGAAAATCCATATAGTTGAAGTAGTTATTTCCTCCGAGGAGCACGCATTGACAAAGCGTCTATGCACACATTAATTGTTTAAGTCTTATCTACAGTACCTTGACCACAGGAACACCACTGATTTTCTCTCCAACTAGGACATTCCTAGCGGCTAAATCGCGGTGGACCAATTTCCTTTCCTCCAGATACATCATTCCATTAGCGATCTGCAAATGTAATAAATAATTGCTGGGAAATAGTACATTCTATCCTAATCACAAAAACGGTTACCTGAGCTGCCATATCTACCAACGCCTGGATTCCAAGAGCAGCGCCTTCGTTTCGAAGGTAGTGCAAGAGGGAGCCATTACACATGTATTCAGTGATGATGTAAAACGGCTCTTCACGTGTGCAAACCGCGTACAACTTGACAAGGTTTGGATGATCACACTGCTTCATTATTTGCGCTTCGCTGAAATGAATCATACTGAAAAATGAACTGTTTTTAAGTTCTATTAGAAAGCTTTTTCTTGTCCACCCAATTCCCATGCCTCGCTTTTCCAACTAGTAGTGGTGCTCCCCATAAGTGGATTTTTTGCTCCTCAAAGGAAGAATGGAGAAACTCAAAAAAGATTGATGAGAAATTCAATAAAAATTGTGGTAAACAGGGGCTCACTGTCAAAAATACTACAAAGGCGGGTAACGGTACAGGCATAGAACAGGAGATACTACAGCATCACCCTTACTATAGAGTACCTATGTACTATATCTATTTTCACATGGATGACTTGATTATGGGCAGCACACTGTTAATCTTGCCCTCCTCAGTAACCCTAAGGGAATGAAAAGGAGCTCTTGCCCATTGAATATACCGGCAAAGTTCCCTCCACAAAATGACAGGAGGAATGCATACTGTGGATGGTTGTCTGGGACACGGGAATATTTGTACTGCCCTCGGCAATCTTCTTATATGAAGGCTTATATGAGAAAGTCCGTGGACCACAGCAAAGATGGTCGAACTGCACATTTACAGCGGTCGTCTTGCAGAATCAGAACGATGTTCACTAGCTAACTGTGCGCCCGAGGGAACTAAGCAGTCGCATGGGGTGGCAGCAAATATTGTGGCTCTCGTCAACAATAGTGGATGATTTCACATTCCAACGATGTCAATGAAGAACGGCTTTGTTCTGTTTATTCAAGAAGTTTGAGAAGCATTACAATTCGGAAACTTCATTTACAGACAGTGACAGTGTATGAAGGTAAATTTATCGATACATTCCATAAGTAAAGTCCATGTGTGAAGGAACTTTTGTCCTTCCCACCCCACTTGCACATAGAGGGTTTTTGAAACTAACAGCACGAAAAAAAAAATCAAGATTAAGTAAGTTGTGATTAACATACCCCAAAAATGCCTCCGGTGACATTGTTCCAGGCTTCATTGTCTTTATTGCCACCTCCACAATTCCACGCCATTTGCCATACCATACCTACAGCGTAAATGGTATACTCGAGTCATAATAGTTATCAACCTTCACTAGATAGGAAATAGAAGAACATGTAAAGACTTAACAAAAACTATTTTTCTGATTACCTGCTTGATTTTCAATCGGTAATTTTCAAGCCATTATTACATTTTCTTGCGCATTTTGTGGCGTTTCTTACGTTTGCTTATGCAATGTTGTAAACAATAAACAGCAAAAGAAGAAGAAAGGCGCTCATCTACATAGGACGCTATAGGAAGGAGAGCAAAAGCGAAGAAAACTTGTGAAAAATCGTTGTAAAGGTAATGTTTAGACATAACAAGAAAACCGACCTCGCCAAAATTACCGTCGCCGAGCTTCCTCTTCAACTGTAACTGATTCCTTGGAATCTCCCAGTTTTGTTGAGTATCGTGACTGAGATCGGGACGGGTTGGTGCAATTCGAGGAGCAGGGAATGTTAATTGACAGCACAAGCCATCAGCCATTTCTGAAAATTACTTGCACTCGTTCAATTACTACGCTCAATCTTTTCTGTAGAAAATCAGTAGCGACAGTAAGCTTCACCAGAATAATAAGCAACAAGTTCCTGTAATGTGCGGAAAGTTCTTCGAGTGGTGATGAAGAAGCCCTGATCATGGTCGAGTCGCTTGATCTTGTAGTGTTTTACCGATCCTTAAGAATTGAAAAAAAAATTAAAATTGCAGCAAAAATTACATACCAGCAAACTATACCTCCTCGAATATCGTCCGAATCCCTTATAGTTAAAGCAAACTCCCTTCCATCAGCTTCGCGCTCACGGATCAAAAACGTTCCTTTTGGCAAGTTGTTGGCTAACACAAGTCGCTCAGCTCGATTTCGTGGAATCTTCCCAGCATACCATCTATAACAAACAAATATGCACTGCAGAATTTATCACCGTTCTAGAACGTCTACAAGCTAACAGTTGACTCACTCTTCGCTCTCAATTGTTTGTTGTTTGGCTACAAAATTTCTCGGTACATATCCCGTATTTCCGGTGCGCTGATGACGTACATACCACCAGTCACAATTGCTGGAAAACGCAATGATAGTATATGTGCCGAAACACCAATAATACTTCTAGAAATTGATATATACCAAGCAGGATATCCAAACCTATTAAAAGGGGGATCCAATTCTATGTTAGCGATCAGCATTTTGGGGTTGCCTACCAGATTAGTGTAATATGTATGCCCCAAATTTCTCTACTAACATATTCTTTGGCCGAGTATGCCAAACTTTGTGTATCGCATGTCAAGTAAACTGTCGCCTACTGACAGGTCGGCGTCAATGCGGTTCGATGTGCCGCGGACAAGAAAAGTCTTTTGCACAGCTTTAAAATTGCTTACAATAGCATGTTCAATAGAAAGACGTTGTTCGGTGCCTTTGAAATCGCAAATAGAGTACATTAGCAAAGAAAAACTTGATGTTAATTCCCTTAGATAAAGCTTGTACTTCAAGACGTTTGTTGTTTTTTCTTTGCTTGCAAATTATCTAGCGTGCTGATACAAGCTAATAGATCCGGATCCAAATTGATTCACGGAATATGGAGTGAAAAGTTGGAGTGTCGAGTCTGTTTCTATCCTTCTATTTGACCGAATGATTAGATTCACGTTTAGTTCGCAGGTAATCGGCGAGATAAATCAAGATTCATAAGTATCTTCACTTAGTTCGGACGATAGCACCAGGTTTTGGTGTGAATGCGCTGCTGCGTTAGGACGCACTATTATTTCAAAAACGGAAAAGTCACATTGTTGAAATGTGATAAAGAACTATACTGACTCAAGCGCTGCTCTCGGCTTGCCCGAGGTATCCCATGCTTTTATGGCAGTGCTACCGAGTGTGAATGCAATCTATGAATTTGTAGGTCGAGAATGAACCGACTTGGTACTTTATTCAGGATTCACCCAAAAATCCTCATCGACTTTTTAATTACTGACCAAAAAATTGCAAATCACATTCCGAGTAAAGTAGGTTTCACAATCTGAATGCCACTCGCTATCTGCTTCTATATTCCGTCGCCTAACAATATCACAAATCAAATCAACGCAACGACATTTCTAAGTAATGTCAGTCTCCGAACGGAAACAGGTTACTAGGTAATCTTGATTCTATGTACGAAATGTACCGTCGAAACGGATTAAGAACATCAAATTTAGCGAGATTCTTACAGTGCGGGGTTTAGGTCAGTAATGCCTTGTGTACTAGTAGCCTTTTCTTGACATTCTGAAAAAAATTTCGTCGGTGAAAAAAAATTTAAAAAAGCACACCTCTGATCTAATAAATACATGACGTCCCCCTTCTTGAAGCTGAGGTCGCCATCAGCCCGCGAGTCGTACGCATACAGTGCCACCAAAACTTCCTTGTCTGGAACTTAAACCATCGATTTCGGAAATTACACTGACAGAAAATTACAACAGAACGCAGGCGCTTCACAAAAGAGCTTCGCACTTTTGTGTCAGGTTCGAAGATCCAGATTTCACCTTTTAATACGTATATTCATATCCTTAAATATTCACATCATCTCTATGCCCAAGGGATAGCACAATGTATAAGCATTAGCACCCACCATCAGTGGCACATGTGATGGTCTCAAAAACTCACATTACGAGCGCTTTTTGAAGCATTGGATACTACAATGCGTTTCAAAAGTATAGGAGCACCCTTAAAAACAGTTGCTCCGAATTAGGATGAAGGTTTCACGACTTCCAACCTACTTATTTCAATTCAGCATGCTCCAAAACTTTAGTCCACTTCATTTTAGAAGGCAATATAAGCTACAAACATTTTTAAGAGAAAATTTAAAAATGTTCCTTGTATCAAAAGTGGCAAAAGGCCATCCTGGGCGAGGGTATTTAGAAGTAAGGTTTCTTCTCCCTGTTAACCCTTTTGCGATACTGTGAAAATGTGGAGTGAAAGCACGCCACTTCTTCAATGTGCCTGACCGGGAAAGGCATTCAACTTCCCATGGAACTTTGAATTGAGACCCAGATATATCGATAGAGCTTCAAACGCTGATTACAAATATGGAAACTAAAACTGCAAAATGAACCTGCCAAGGAAGTTGTGAGCAGTCAAAGTTGGCTGGAAGTAAAGCATTACACTAGCTGCCCAGGCTTTCAGAGTCGCCGCGGAGCAGTGGTGGTGCCCTCGCTATTCACCCTGGAGGTCATAAGCTCTCCTCCCGTCGGAGCGCAAATTCCGAGAGCACTACCACTACTCCACGGCGACTTTGAAAGCCCGGAGGCTAGTGTAATGCTTTACTTCCAGCCAACTTTGACTGCTCACAACTTCCTTGGCAGGTTCATTTTGCAGTTTTAGTTTCCATATTTGTAATCAGCGTTTGAAGCTCTATCGATATATCTGGGTCTCATTCAAAGTTCCATGGGAAGTTGAATGCCTTTCCTGGTCAGGCACATTGAAGAAGTGGCGTGCTTTCACTCCACATTTTCACAGTATCGCAAAAGGGTTAACAGGGAGAAGGAACATTACTTCTAAATACCCCCGCCCAGGATGGC